TAAATGATCTCTTTAACCATTGAAATATATTGGTTTGTGCAATGTTTAGAGTTTAAAATTTAAAGATTAAGAACAAAAACTCCCAATCTTAATGCAACTTTAAGACTTTTTCTCCTAATTTTTAGAATTTTTTTTGGATAAATTATAAATCTAATCTTAATTCTAATTAGAGGATAGGAGAAGGGGATATTAACATAAGGAAAAGAAGTGTTCTTAATAGGCCTAGAACACATGACCTAAAGGAATACGAGAGAATAAAGATGAATAATTTGACTAATTTGCCAAATATACTTACTTCTTAATTAATTTTCAGGAGTTGAGTTAGAAAGTAGTTTTGGAAAGGATTCTTTTATCACGTACTTCAAATGGAAAAAATTAGTTTCTAACATATGCTATTTTTTGGATTAATGCTCAATACCTTATTTTTTGTTTGATGAAATAAAGATGAATAAGTTACACGAATTAAAATTCTGCTATCAAAACACAGCCATCAGCTTTCTGTTGCACCAAGTTGATGATTTTTATTGGCGGAGTGGTGAAAACCATGTGGACTCTCAATACCTTATTTCTAATCGCACAAAATTGAATTATATTTCTTTTTTTCTCATTTTATAAGACTCTATACATGATTAAGCAATGATGATAAAATTGATTGGTTCCAAAAACTGTAATTAAGTGAAGATGAAAATGGTTTATTGAAATGATGGTTGAAAAAAAAGGGAAATTGTTTTTCAATATAAAAATGGATATTGGTGACATCGCTTGGTTTCACACAACTTCGGAACATTAAAAACCGAATTTATTGTACCATTTAAAAAAGAAAGAATCCGATCGATGAGGAACTAAATTTATTGTAGCTGTGACCCAGGACATGGTTGACCGTCTTAGCACTCCGATGCGAGCTGAGGGATGGAAGAAAAAATTATTTCGTTTTGTTTGTATTAGAGATTGTTGTGTAATAGCCTATGCTAAACCTCCTTGTACAAAACCAACAAAGAGAGAGAGAGAGAGAGAGATTGTTAGACGTTAGATGAAATGAGGAAAAAAGATTAAGAAGAAACATTAAAAAGTATTTTTGAATACAATAATTTATTTTTAACTTTTTTAAAAAATTAAATTTTTTAAAATTATCAGAATATGACAAGTGTCGCTTACTGAATTTTTAACGGTTATTATGGTTGGACACTTAAAATTATAACATTTATAACGTTAGACATCTTAATTAGCCAAAAAATAATTTATGCACCTAAATAAAAAAAACGGTATAATTTGTGTACTTATCTTTATATTAAGCCAAAAATTTATGCATAAGTTTGATATTGTTCTCGGTAACAAGAAATCGCAATTCTTGTTTAATCACGAGTATTCAATTAATTAATTAATTAATTCAAATCAGTTATTACAAAAGTTATTTTTATAGAGATGATCATTCTAATCCAAATTATTCTATTTATAATATCAAGATTTAAATCTATAATGCTATTTAAAGAATATAATATTTAATCTCAATTTGTTATAGGTAACAATCTAAAATTTTAATTGATATGTTCTTGTAATTTATATTTGCATGTGGTACTAGAACGAATTTTTGGATATATTTTTGAAATAGTTATCTAGTACTATTTATGTTAATGATTTAATGCAAATATTATTATTTATTTTAATGTTTAATTAGGTTAAAATAATAATTAAATATGTTTCTATTTATTCGTTGTTGACATCAAATTTCCTTCGAGTTAAAAAATCAAATATTTAATTGAATTATATAGCGTAATTAGCCAAAAGAAGAACACTTTTTGATGCAAAAATTACAAGAGAAAATCGTCTCAGTGACCAAAAATACCTTAAAATATACGATTTTAACCAATTTTTTTTGGATTTGCCAAAATGACCAATAAAATCGCAACGCGATATCAAAATCGCAACGCGATTTAGAAAATCACAACGTTAAAAAGAAAATCGCAACGATCAAAAGAAAATCGCAACGCGAGCTTCCAAGTTCGCAACGCGATTTAGAAGAAAATCGCAATGCGTTTGATAGAATCGCAATGCGATTGAGAGAGTCGCAACGCGATTGACGTTGAAAATAAAAAAACATTTGTTTCTCTAAAAAGATAGTATCCGCGCGGACGTGTCGAAGACACGTATTACCATTACCATTACCATTACCATTACCATTACCACGACCACGACCACGACCACGACCCGACCCGACCCGACCCGAGACGACGGCGGCGGCGGCGCGCGAGAGTCCCCCTTGTTCTCTTTCACTCAACAAGGAAGTGCAAAATACAAGCCTTAAATATAATTCCCAATAGTGTTTCCAATACTATGTGGGATTGAGCATTACCAACACTTGTTCCCAATATCATTATTCTTCATAAGTTATCATCCATTACAATATGAATTATCGATAATAAATTAATTCATTTTAATAAGTATTTAAAATTATAACTTGATAAATACATGAAATAATTCTATTATTAAATAAAAAATATATTTTTTATATTAAAATTATTGAGATAGATATTTACTATAAAAGTAAAAGATTTTTTTTTCACGTACAACCTCTATGTGAATTAGTTTCACAATAAGGTATCGGTTATGCATTGGATTCTTTCGTACTAGATGGTCTTTAATAAGATCATCATCATCATTCTTTTGTTCAACAATACCATATATTAATGAGGTATATTGGTTCATTAACACGACTAATTCATATTGTAATGGATGATAACTTATGAAGAATAATGATATTTGGAACAAGTGTTGGTAATGCTCAATCCCACATAGTATTGGAAATACTATTGGGAATGGTATTTAAGGTTTGTATTTTGCACTTCCTTGTTGAGTGAAAGAGGACAAGGGGGACTCTCGCGCGCCGCCGCCGCCGCCGTCTCGTCTCGGGTCGGGTCGTGGTCGTGGTCGTGGTCATTTTGACAAATCCAAAAAAAATTGGTTAAAATCGTATATTATAAGGTATTTTTAGTCACTGATGCGATTTTCTCAAATTACAAACGCAGATAAAGGTGTAGTTCAATAGGAGATAATTGTTGATCAAAAACAGAAAGAGAGAAGACAAAGTCCGTCAGTTTCACCTTCAACTCATTGACTAATCGCTTCATCCTCAAGCTTAGGCCTTTGAATTTCAAAACACCCCACGTTATCAAGAAAAATTGGGGGGATTCTAGTCATATCAGAAAAACCCTCTCTGCAACCCCAAATCAATCAGATAATTCTTCTAAAAAAAATACAGAATGGTGATGAAGGCAGCTGTTTGTCTTACATGGTGGCGTGGTTGGGAAGCAGCGTGGCCCAAGCCTTCTTCGCGACTCTGGAGCGTTGTTCTTGCATCAACCTTCCTTCATCCGACGACGCCGATGATTCCGATGCCCACCATCTCCCTCTCATGTTCACCAATTCCTCCTCCATCTCTTCATCTGCTACTTCTATAGTCAACAAAAACAAGAAGCCTCCCAACGGCGTCGTTCATCTCCATGTCTGAATCCTGCATTGCTAGCTGCAATCTTTCTGGGTATTGTTTATAGTGTTTTGGTTTTGTATTAGTGCTGATTGTTTGGTTTGAATGGAATCATTCAGCGTTAAATGTTAAACCGTTCAATATTCAGACTATTTGTTTCTCATCTCTGAATGATTTAAAACTGATTGATTTAGTAAAACAGTGTTGACTGATTTAGCAAAACAGTACTGACTGATTTAGTAAAACAGTACTGACTGATTCAGCAAAACAATATTGAATGATTCAGGTGATTCAGAGTCATTATCAAACAACATGTCACATTCAGAGCTAATTCATACAGAATCTCTGAATCATTCAACATTTAAATCATAACGCTTAATCATTCTGAAATAAACAAATAACCGCTTACTTTTTAAAATATTTATGAATTTTGATGTAAGTTTTTCTCTTTTATTTTTCTCTTTTATTTTTCTCATTTATGAATTTTAGATCTATTAAGAGTGATTTCCATCTTTCTTTTATAATCTCTTTTTAAGGAAGACTAAAATAAGATTTAAAATTTATAAAAATAAAAAACATATTTATTATTTTACTTTTCGAACTTGTTTTCTTCGTAATCTTTTTCTTCCCATCAAGTTAGCTATTATTTACAAATTATATAATTAAATTTTAATAACTTCATTTGATCGCAAATTTTTAAATAAAAGTTTAATTAAGATAAAACTTTTATTATCTAATTTAATATAAACTTTAAGTATTAATTTATATTACTTTTTAAAATATTTTAAATCTTCAAAATTTGACCCCAAAATAAGAACTTTCTTTGAATGTAATTAAAAATCAATTTATGAGGTTAAATTGTCAGTGTTGATTCACGGCCATTGGAGATATAATATGGAGGGTTAGATTTATTAATCTAAGGTAAATTACACATTTAATACTTCAACTATCATTTTTATTTCATTTCGGTCATCTAATAAATTTTTTGTTTCAAAATAATGTCTGACGTTACGTTTTAATTTCATTTTGGTCACCCATCATTAAAACATTAACGGTGATATTAACGTGTCACCATAAGGTAAGACCACACCATTATTGAAAAAATGAAAATATCACGTTAGTAATTCTATTAATTTTTAAAGACAAGTGACCAAAATGAAATTAAAACGTAACATTAGGTATGATTTTGAAAAAAATAATAGTTGAGTGACCAAAACAGAACAAAAGTGATAGTTGAGATACTAAACTTGTAGTTTACCCATTAATTTATGCAAGTGTAAAACCAAATTAAGAGTAGACGTTAAAAGGACAAATATCTTATTATGCCATTAAGAAAAGCTACATCATTTCGTTAACCAAAAAAACAAAAGCAATGGAAGACTTTTTCTCACTTCATATGGCTCTTCAAATCACTCCTTCCCCATAGGAAAACCTCAACCAATTCATAATTAACAAATTATTTTGAAGAGTAACTTCATCGACTAACAATTAGCATCATTCATAGAAGAAGAAGAAGAAAAACTATGCAATATAAAGAGAACGTATGAGAAACCAGACGAGGATGATTCAAGAGCCGTGGGACTACAATATATCCCATCTCTTTTTAACACGGAACATCAGCGTTGATGACTGAATGTCATCCTGTGGTACCTGTAACATAAACTGAACTTTCATCTTCATCGCAGCGTTCCTCGCCTTGCCGTTTTCATCTCCGACCTGAAATGAGGATACCAAGAGTTATCGGGCCATGTAAACAATATAAACCTTGCCTTCAAGGACAACAACTTTATTTAATGGGTGATTATAAGGTAGTATTTGTTCAGAATTTTTTTTAATCTATTGACAATGTATGCATCCTATAGACCGGAGTCCTAGGGATGGCAACAGCCGGGTATTGGTCCCCCGTCTCCGTTTAAAAAACCCGTACCCGTCCCCGCTTAAAAAACCGCAGGAATTTAAACGGGGATCCCCATCGGGTAATCGGGGAAAACCGTGGGGAAACGGGTATCCCGTTTAGCATAAACGGTTATTTAAACGGGTATCGGGCCGGGTATCGGGTCGGGTATATATATTTAAATTAAATATATAAATATTATATATATATTTTAAATTAAATTAAATTTATTAATATTATATATATAATAATTATTTTTAATATTTATTGGGTCAGGTAATCGGGGCGGGGATTACTAAACCCGTCCCCGTCTCCGTCCCCGTTTAACATAAACGGGTTTTCTCCGTCCCCGTCCCCGTTTAACATAAACAATTTTTTCCCGTCCCCGTTTAATTCGATTTTCGATTTTCTCTGTCGGGTTCAGATTTTTTTTTGCCATCCCTTAGTCCTTGTGGCTTCTTCGAGGACTGTCAGTTAAGCAAATACCGCTTACCCATATGGAAGCCCAGCCACGACGAAAATCTGAATCATATCCAGCCCTGAACTTGATGTATTTCTCATATTTGTGCTTGTACACAGCACTCCAATTGTTTGTATCAAGCTTGTACCAGTAGCTGCAGACAAATACGAAAGCTGATCAACAAAATACGTGGATAAAAAGAACATCACATGAAAAAGAGCTCACCGAGTCTCCTGCAAAACAAAAGAAATGGAATTGTTCTAAAGTTCTAACCTCACTTTGTCAGTTGGAGTAAGACGTCGCTTGAATGCAAATGATACAGCATTCGAAGGTATTGAAATGCTAGGAATAAATTTCATTAACCGATCCTGCAATTTGAAAACTATCAAAACCATCTATTTGCACACATTATTTCCAACCCAGCATTTTCCTATGAAGAATTTGCTCAGTCACACAAGTCAAATTTGAAGACTAGCCATCTCTGTTCATTGTAGCCTATCAATCAATAAGTAAATAAACAGGAACAGAAGAAGAACTTTATAACAATGAGGAATAATAATCACCTTATATATGTATCTTAATTTCAGTTGTTGGTTCACATAATGTGCAGAACAGACCCCATTCAAAATTTGACCTCTAAGAATTCCCTTCATTGTCAATGTTCTTGGTACGTCCTCCTGGTCTCTCTCCTCAACTGTAACTTCACCCATGGGGAATCTAATTGTCGCTCTAGGCTGCAGTGACAGGAAAGTAACAAAGGCAATTAGAATGAAAGAAAGGAAAGAGTGGTTATATATTAACATGGCTAAACTGGATATTTTGTAGGATATTAACAGCAATGTGGCACCACAACCGCTCTGCAATTCAGAGCCAAAAAAACTGGCTGAGTGCAAATTACCAAATACTTCTTCAAATTAAATGTTCAAATGAATATCCAATAGAACTAATACTGAATAAGTGCTTTTATACAATCAGCTACCAAGTACCAGAAAGGAACATTAAGATTAATTTAGATTTGTGCTGAACATAATCCTAAATGATTGGTCTTCACAGGACAAATAGTACTCACCAAACCAACAGATGGAACGGGAGATGATAATTGGATACCATAGCCGGGATGGGGTAGGTCTGCATACATTGACACCTCACCTTGTTGAGCCTGAGAAAAATATGGAATATTAAAGGGACGACACATGTAACTGTGACCAGCAAAATAATCTCTCACGCATGGCGACAATCGTCTCAAACTTTCATTTCTATAAGATTTTCATTAATAATGTCAACTAAAGCGCAACCACATAGAAAATATGTCTTTAAAGGAGAATCGGGCAAACCTTGACATCATGTGCAACATTGAAATACAACTTAGAACCCACATCGAAGGAGGTCCGGATAAGGGCATTTTGTTCTTCAGGATCGTAGTGGATGGACAAATATCTTGACGATAACATCAACTGTGGCTCCAAGATCTCGCGTTTGCCGTTGTTGATGAAGGAAAGGTTGAGCCTGGCGAGGTCGTCAAACAGCTTACACGAGACCCTCTGAAAGAACACGCGGCTATCACTGTCAAACTCCGAAGTCACTCTGAGGGAAGATTTTTCGGATAGCAAAGACAATAACTTGTCGGAGTAGATGCGCGTTAGAGAAGGTGGTGGTGGCGGTGGCGGTGGCTGTGGGGGAAGAAGCAGCGAAGGTGCTGGCGGTGAGAACGGTCGGATTAGGTAATTGGGTGTTTGAGAAGCTGGTTCCAGCATCGTTATTTTTGGTTGGTCTGTATATCACGCAATGTATGGTCTTGAGAAACGCTTAAAGCTTAAAAAAATCTGGGGTGTCTTTGGCTATTGGAGTCGGAGAGGTATTGTTGAATCTATAATGGATTTGTTTTGTTTGAAAGAGAGAAAGAGGGGGAGATGTGGCTTAGTAGTGGAATGGGGACATCGTTATTTGGCGGAAATTTCTGGTCTTATTTTAATCAGAATTCCGCTCCTCCCTATCCTTAACTCCGCAAAATATGAAGTTTAACGTTCATATTTGCTTGGAATAGTAATATACAAAGTCAACCTAATATTTCTGAGATTTTGCTCACGAATTCATTCATTTACTACCCATTTTGAAGTTATCCTTGAAATTAATATTATTTATAGTAGTTTGTATTCTTATTTTTATATTTGATTTTTAATGAAATAATTAAAACTTAATATCTTAATTCTTTTAAAAATTAATAGTTTAAAGAACAAATAAAAAATTAATAAATTTATGTATAAATCTTTTATCATTAATTATCTGATCTTTCCTTATATGATTAAAATTTAATGTAACATTTTTTACATACAATGTTATTTCTCACCCAGACATTATTAATATAACAAAATTTAATTCTAATATTAAATCAATGACTTAATGTACTGTTACAAGTCATATGACATTTTATCCTTTTTCTAACTTAGGTTTCTCTCAATAATTTTGTATTGCTTATTCTTTCTTTTTTATTTTTGTTTAGCTGGCGACATTAATATGATTGTCGATTGTCGATAATTATTAGTTCTTTTTTTATATTATGTCTTTTGTTTTCTTTTTTTCTTAAGGTTTTTTTTAATTTTGAATGAGAATCTTTATCCATGTGACACGTTTTTCTTTGCTCTTGTGGTACGCGTTTTCTATGTTCTTGTGGCACGATCCTTGTAGCTTTTGGTACGTTTTTTTGCATATCTTTGTAGTCGTTTGGTGCTCGCACAAAGGACATTTATTTTCTAATTGGGTTGTCGGTGGTCAAGTGTAGTCAGATCCCTTCTTTGGTAAAATGTTGTTTGTCATTATAATCAAAATTGTGTAGCGAAGTAGCATGTCACATATATAGTTTGGTTCGCTCACCACTCCTTTATCATTTCGTAAAACGTCTCATTCGACAGAGACAAAGAGTTTTTAGGAAGGTTACTAGTTCTTTTGATGTTGGTTATCATTGTAACATCCCAAAAAGCGGGCTAATAACTAAAATATAAGTTTTTGAAACTTTGTGGTTAATTTTGAAAATTTTAAAAGTTAAGGGACCTAATTGGAATATTTTTTAGAATGATTGAATAACAAAGTTTGAAAGATGAAAGTGTATAATGGTCATTTGGCAGGAAATGAATTTAAAATTCATTCATTGGGTATTATATATCCACGTCGAAGAGAAAAGAAGGGGAAAAAGGAAATCCATAAATTTCTTCATCTTTCTTTCTTCTCTTCACAACGAGTCTCGATAGCTAAGGTAAGGACTGCTCAAATTGGTTATTTATTATAATTTATGATGGGTCTTGATTCTTGGTATGTTAGGAAAGTTTGAGGAAGCTTAAAGAGAAGTAAAAACTAAAGGATGGATAAGTTATGAGTGATTAAGTAAAAAGGGTTTTTGATTGAATTGATGAGAAAGAGTTAGTAAATGGATTTTGAAGTGAAAATTGACTTGTCATAAGTTGAAATAAGAAATTTAAAGTATTAGAAATGAATTTGGAACATGTTGATAGATTTGTATGATTTTTAGATTCAAGTGAGTATATAGGATATTTTATGTTACGATGAGTTAAAATGATATAAGTTGAGTTTAAAGGCTTTAAAGAAGCGTAAAGTGAGGAAATTAGCAAAGTGTTAGAAAATTTTCAGGTTAAATGAATAAGTTCTGGGCAAGGGGTATCGGTACTGGATGAACAATATCGATACTCCAAAGTAAATATAGATGATAGTTGGGTCTGGGTATCGATATTGGATGAACAATATCGATACCATAAGGTAAAAGTAAATTAAATCTTTAAGAAGTATCGATACCGAAGGATTAGTATTGATACTAGGGGTATCGATACCAATGTTTAAGTATCAATATCATTCTAATAGACAAATTCTAGTATGTAAATAGGGTATTGATACTGAAGTATGGTATCGATACCACAGTAAGGAAGTATCGGTACTGTACCTTGGGTACCAATACTACTTGTATGGAAATTATGAATTAAGTACTTTGTATAGCTTATGTTATGTATGATTGATTAATGGTAATTCAAATTAAGATATTCATATCGATTATATGTATCGTGTAGATATCGAATGGAAGCATGTATCTGACGAGTTAACGGGATAAGATTGATCAAGTAAGAGATAAAATGTATAAGTATTGATGTGACTAGTGAAGCCAAGGTGAGTGCATATTACTATGGTATATAAATTATATGGAAACTAGACTTGCGATGAGTATATTTCCAATGTTTTGTTTTCATGATTACATGAATAATAGTATGTGTTAATATGATTTCTATGTGTGCATAAATATAAGTATGGTTCGTAGTTATTAGTATGTGAACATATATTGTTAAATTCTCTGCGGCATGATATTGATTATGTGTTATGATCTATGTAAGTATGTGAAAATGTGATATAAACTATATGATCATGAGCTAGGTAAGTACATGACTATGTGATAATCTATGTGAATTGATATAATGAAATTATATGATTAAGTGAAAAAAATGAAATAAGCTATTTGTTATTGACCTAAACTATTATATGAACATGTAATATAAGATATGTGGAACTAAACTACGTGAATATATGAAACTGTAATATAAGCTCTGTGATGAGGAGTTATTTGTTATATGATTTATGTGAAGATATGAGAACAATATTCTAGCTAGGTGACATGACTTTGTACTATGTGAATATGCATTATTTGCATTACATGTTATGTGGTATGAACCTATATGATATGAGTTATATGTTAATGATCTATATGACTATATAAGAATGTGACATGAGCTATGTGATAATAAGTTGTGTGATTACATGCCTATGTGATATAAGTAATGTGAACATGTGAAATATATAAATGATAAAGCCCATAGTATGTGATATGAGAGCTAAGGGTATAATTGGCATGCCAAGAGTCGAGGGTTCTACGTGGTCCTTCAAGACAATTTTACGTGGTCCTTCGGGACATTTCTACGCGGTCCTTCGGGACATTCTATGTGGCACTTCGGTGCAATTTCTACGCGGCACTTCAACACATTTTATACGAGCTATGGTGACAACATTTATGCACAATCTCAATGCACTCACATATATTTAGTTCTCGAAAATGTACAATGGGCAATTAAAAGAAATAATATGAATAAACAGTGTGTAATGTTAGATGGTTTGCTTTGTGAAATGTGTTGTGATGTTTGTATTATATGATGGTTTACAATGATTAAGTATAAATATATATTTTAAATGGATTAATGACAAGGATGTTGATAATGATATTGATGATGATAATATAGGTATATGTACATGTATGCATTTTGTTATATGAAATTGTTTTATGGTTTCTTTGATATGATGTTATGATGTGTTTAGAATATGTTTAGGTGATTGCGTATTTTCTTTCTCAGTAATGTACATGGAGTAATGAAAGAAATAACATGAACAAATCATGCATAAGGTTATATGTTATTATTGGTGAAATACATTATCATATATGCTCTGATTGATTAAATATATAATGATTATGTATGTTGCGAAAGAATGTAGTTACATGTTTCAATATGTCATTTATACATTATCATACACGCAAGTTTAAAGAAGCATGAAGAGCAAAACTAAGCTCAGACAAGACAGTATACACATACAAGAAGATCAGATCAGAAACAATGTATATAGTATGTTTTTTGTTTAATTAAAGTAGTAGGCATGAAATTTAAAGATTTAAATCAGATGTGCTCTGATAGGTTTTTCGAAAACCAATTGTTTTCATTTAATACAAATTATTTGGATTTTATTTTTAAATGTGAAATTAAAATTTCAGTATCTTGTAAAAGTAAAGAATTTGAAAAGTCAATGTGACACCTCAGATTCGTATCCGAGTAGGACATGGATTGGGGGTGTTACAATCATTCTCAAGAGAAAATTTTGTTTTTCTTCGTATCTTTGGGTTTAATATTTTTGCTTTTGTATGAGTTGTTTTGTGATTATTCTCTCAATTTTTTTTTCTATGTTTGGATACGTTGTAATTATGATTATTTTTTTTACTTTTATTAATGAAATTTGGTTATTATTTTCAAATCATCAAAGAATATACTAATATATCCTAAAATAAAAAAAATCAATTATAATAAAATTAAAAAAGACAATCTCATATAATATAGGAGAAAAATCACAAATACACTAAATTTTAACTTTTATTCTAAGTTTATTCTCTCTTTTTAGGGTTTTAAATTTACGAAGAAGGTGGAATAATTGATCTTTAGTCTAATAATCATCACCCATATTTTGAAATAACTTTTATTGTGTTATTCTGGATCTTTTTTTTCTCTGATCTATTTTTAAATTTTTTTTGTTTTGTATATTTATTTTTTTGTGCTACTTATTTAATAAATCTTCTTATTTTTCAATAAAAGATTATAGATATATTATGTCAGCTTTTCTAGTATATTTTTCTTTTTAATGAATTTTTCAGTTGACATTTATTTAGTTATCTTGTTAATTTACCCTTGGACTCCTCATATAGATAAGTGCCTACAATCACCTTAGATAAGTCGTGCTTGAGTTGTGAATCTTGTGATGAAGTCATTTGTCAACATGTTATCATAATTATATTCATTTTTATGTTAGTATTGTAATATCTTAAAAACAGGGTTAGTGACTAAAATATAAAATTTGAAAACTTTGTACTCAATCTCGAAACAAGTAAAAAGTTTATGGATTTAATTAGGAATATTTTGTGAGTAATTATTTAGTAAATATTAAATGAAGTAAGGGGTAA